GATGCTAACTGTTGCGCAAGTACTAAGTAGATACAGCAAACTGGAGCACAAGTTTACAACATAAATACATAATAATGATAGGAACGTGACAAGATTTAACTATTAAGTTTATGAAAAATGAATCATAAATATATAACAATACTATCAGTATATATTTGATACGGCGCTTTTAGATATAAATTCATAAGACATATGTGTCGAAGTTAGGCTATTTGCCTATTTGTAAATGTATTTTCTGCATAAATATGTGATGAATATGTAATATATGTATATAATATGTTAGAGTGGCATTAATGCATTATGAATAGAAACAAGACAATAAGTATTAGAATAAATTATAAAAAATAACTCACACTGCGATACTCCTACTTTGTAGTTTGTACTATATTTATCCGATAGGAGTTTTATGTTTTTATATTTTAAAACCGACGAAGAGTGACTAGACATTAAATAAGAGCCCACATTACAATAGATTGTATTAGGGTAGATACACTATTAGGTTGGTAAATAATTTTAAAACGTCGATGAATACTTTACTTAGGTATTCAAATTTTGATTTATTTATATAATATGCATATAMTATAAAAATAATTATTACATTATACTTGAAGAAAAAAAAAAACAAATATGTAGGTATAATGTATGATAATAATATGGTATACATAAATAATAAAAATATAGGATAATACTGGGATTAAAATTTACCGTGGACGTGAAAAMACAATTTGTTGAAACATTATTATAGCATCAATTGTAAACAACAAGCCATTAAATCCGAATGCTGACGAACATAAGACTAGTTCAAACTTGCCCATATCTTTATGAAATTGCAATAGAAAATATGAAGATACAATACATAAAAGTACTTGTACGATTGAGCCAATGAGCACCTGCAGAGTATCACAATATGTAAAATAAAATTATAACATATAAATACATAATCATTAATTAATTAAATAATTCACAAGATAAAACGCGTTTTTCAAAAAAAAAAAAATTCATAAAAATTAACGGCAATCATTTTTGTATATTTAAAAAAAAATTTTGATTATATGTATATGAAGATGAAATGTTTTCAAAACTTTCAGATTCTCTTGATAGTCGTATTCGTWTCAAATAGATCATTAAGGAAATTTACCTATCTACTTTTTGTATCATAAACTATAACAGAGTACTTTTWRAAAATATTTATTTTTATATTTATATTACCTTTAATTATTTTAACAATTGATTAGAATATGTAATAATATTGATACAAGTATATTATATAATAATAATAGGCACTGACGTTCTCATGAATATTGTATATTCATCTAATATTTATTATTWATCGGCAATAGACCTATAGCCAGGGCCGTATTTAGGAATTTGACACCAAGGGGTAACAAAAAAAATACGCCTCATTAATCATTATACAAAATACAAATTTAAATTATAAAAAAATTAGCCACCCGGGGCAACAGTACCTTGTAGCTCCCCCCTAAATACGGCCCTGCATAGTTACATTGTATACTTATTTTATATCTACTAGCTTAATTGTAAACTAAATACAATTCTAAAATAATTGTTTTACTCACCAATTTCTTAGGAATTTGTTCTTTTATCAATAGTCCACATATGACAAGCATGGTAAAAAACAAACTTACATAAATTGAAACTTGGGTGAAAACAATTTTGAAAAACCAGTGTGAGTCATGGTTTTGTAGTTGGAGTATCTTGATATAATCAGAAACATTTTTATTTTTGAATCCCATCATACAAATGGATATCATAATTGGTATCAGCTGAAAATAAATCATAATTAATTATAATTTTTCTATTTTTGAAAAAAGAATATTTTATGTATTTAGTACCTTCCATATTTTTTATTTTAAAAACTTTAAATTACAAATAGTAAGTTTCAAAATGCAAAGAARTTTTATAACGGAGATTATGTGAGTGAAATGTWCTAGAGAATTGGATTTATACTGAAAAAGAGCAGACCAAAATGTGTAAATGAATGTGATCAAATATAAATATATTGGCGAAAAGATAAATACAAATATGATTAAAATTTAATACTGAATTGATTTTATTTATACTACTTACAAGTTATAATACTCTTTAAAAATATGTTTAATCATATAAAAATATATCAATACACCATGGTTAAAATAATATTATATTTATATTAAAATAAGTAGTTTGATAATACTTTTTTAATATTTCACTGTAAATTCACATATTTATGCAGTACCTATCCCGTATAAAATAATTAAAAAACAAAAACGCAAATGACGGATTTTTGTTCGCTTAATTTTTCACGGTGCAACATAATTGC